GATTTTTGGGATAAGAAGTAATACAGTTTCAAATTGATCCAAGAAACCACAGTCAGTGTTTTTCCTTCCATAGGGCAAATGCAGAAAAATTACACAGGAAATCAGTGTTCACTCTGAAGGACACATCAGTTATTTCTGTGAGCCACGATACAGCATTTATTTGATAGGTAAGGTTTCTATGAAGAAAACTGAAGTCACCTCCTCCAGCAAAGAAGGCAAGCAACTTTGGGACACTAAGTGCAATTTAAAAATGCCTTAATATACAACCTACTATTTCTGCAGACAGCATATACCTTTTCTGTAACTGACCTAACTGTAATGTGCAAATGATTTTGAAGCCAATGATTTTCAACCGTGTTTACTTCAAGACTCAAGCAACTGCATCTGTTCTTGGATGAAACTGCATAACCTATTTGGGTTCATGCTTTCAAAACCAGCCTTGGGCTGAAACTTAGTCAGTAGCTAAAGGGCTTTCAAATTGGAAAGGAAAGATGAGATTCAGGTGAGCCAATCAGTATTTACTAGGTCTATAAACTCACCTGGTTTTGGTGATGACAGAATAACTTCCCTCTTGGGATCACTCTCATTGTGGTTGTTTATAAAACCTGTGCGAGTGCTCTCACTATCTGCTATGAACTCCATGCAAGCCCCTTTCAGGAACAGGCGGCTGAAGGGCTGAGTTCTCTCAGATGCAACACAACTCACCAAAGCCCTCCTGAGGACCATTGCGAGCGGGGTATAAGCGAAAGGGCCACAACGAGACCCCCCCACACACACACACACACTGGTCTTATGAATGAGTGGTGGTGGAAAGTGCGATCAAGTCTCAGCTGCCTTATGGTGACCCCGTAGGGTTTCCAAGGCAAAAGACATTCAGATGTGGTTTGCCATTGTCTGTTTCCTGCAAATGAGTATCACGCATCTAAAATGTGTCCAGATATTTGCTCGTAGGAAGGGGTTAGTCTCTGACTTGGCATGTAGAATCTGCTTTGTGTCTAAATCATTCAGCTCAAATTATTGTTATCAGTGTATCAATGTAGCACCTGACAGGGGTAAACCTGGATTAAAATTCCAGAAAGGGAGGGGGCAACCAGTTTTGCTTTTTCATGTAGTAGTACATTCACACCCATTTAAAAGAGCACTGACAAGGAGATTCTTTGTCCTATGGATACATGCTAGCTTCCTGTTGCTAAAGGAACCTTATTTCTGCACAGAGTTGACCACCAAAGCAAGGTGGTCTCTTGTGTTGGTACAAGGCTGTTGCTGGCATCAATTCATTCATATTAATCCATCCCTTGTTTTCAAAATAAGGGCCCTATCCCCTGTTCTTTCTTTTTCCTGCTGTGCTGAAATAGCGGGAACAGCTGTTTCCAAGCACCGTTTGTCATACACAGCTAATGGGACTAGCCCTGGGACTTGCTTGCAATTCTAGCACTGAAATGTAGATGACATGAAGCTGTAAATTAAGACGGGAGTACTTCCGAAATTGAGCCAACTTCGGAGGACGGCGGAAGACAGGAGAGCCTGGCGGGAGATTGTCCATGGGGTCGCGAAGAGTCGGACTCGACTGTGTAACTGAACAACAACACACTTCTGAGAACGTGCTTTGACAACTGAGTCAACTTAGTCAATCCCCGAACATGTTGAAGACAGCAGTGGAGCTCGCAGACCAAAGGGCAGGATTTGGGGGCAGAATCGAGCCTCCCCGAGCTGTCGCGAATTAAGCTGCGCACACAGGCAACTCAACCTGCCATGTTTAAGGGCCCTTTTTTCAGTGTAAGGATTTCTCATGGGAAATATGCTCTCCATTACAAAATCTTAGTCATGTTTTGGCAGACCGTTCCTGGCTGTTTGTTTGCACAGTTAACTGTTTGCATAGGTGGCCTCACAGCCATCATTGTGACGTTGACAGCTCACTTGTTGGGTCTGGAAATAATGGGGCAGGTCTGAGAATGTGACTGACAGTGACAAAATCTGGCAGGTATCCTAGAAGATACTGCTTCTCCACAGCCGCCACTGCTCAGCCCCAAGCGAATTAACACCGAATTAACACCGAACTAACATCGTATTGCCTGGCCCCTAAGGGTGGAACGTAGTAACAAACACCGCTCTAGGATAAGATTTAGGGTAGCTATGTCAGATATGATCTCTCTTTTCTTGTTTGAAATTTGCTGTTATTTGTTGTAAATTGCTTATTTTATTGTAATTTATTGTTTTTAAATCATATGATATTGTTTTAACCTGGCACTTAGTGCCCTGTAAGCCGCCCTGAGCCTTCGGGGTAGGGCGGGGTATAAATTTAAATATAAATAAATAAAATAGAGGCTTCCCTTTTGGTGGTGCAGTCAGCAAGTGACACAGTACGTAGTCACAATAAACATTCAGGTTGCTTTGGTTTTTAGATCCTTTTTTCCTATTCTAAAAAGTGTAGTTGAAATCTTGGAGCCCAACGTATGAGGTAGTCCAGGAAGCAGATTCTGTTACGCCGAAATATTTATGTCCTAACAGTGCAAATCCTTCACAGTAGTCAGAAAGATTAGCTGTCACATTCGTGTGGTCAGGCTTGCCCTATCAGAAACCTTTCCTTTCATTCTGCCTTGTATGCAGTTTCCTTCTTAAGGTGCCATGAGGAAATAGCTGTTTTTGGTTGCATAGCAATAAACAAATAACTCCTGTGTCATGCTTGGATTATAAGAAAGCAGTTTCACAGATGTACAACTGTCCCTTGGTCAACATTTTCCAGTCACTCTTAAAGATTTACTATATTTCCTCTTTTATTTTCTGAGCCATTTAAGGCTGCATACTTGCTTAACTTTAGATAACAAGCCGACATGCGGAGCATATTTTATTTTTGTACAGTACCCAGCGAAATAACTATCTGCTTCTGGGTAATGTTCAGCATTCCTAGATGATGTAGCAGTTGTGTTGATATTTGATCCTTAGAATCACAACCCTTTTGGTGGTTTGTCGAGGACTGTAGCTTAGATCAGATATGAAATGCAGAAGTGTGCACAAGCATTTTAACAGAGACTACAACAACGTGAGCCAGGCTGAACTTTCATTTGACTTCTATCTGTGTATGAGTTTGAAGAAGCTCTTGGTACCTTCCCCATATCCAGATGTAGTTGCCATCTCCTGCAATTTCTCCTCACTTTGTTGAAATGAATGTAAGCTAGTGGTCTTGACAGTGGATACCATTTGTTGATGCTGGAACAACTGGAAGTATGTTGGCCAACAAGGGCATTTATAATTTGCTGCTATTGACAGCATTGCTTCATGGTTTAGCAGGTCAAGGAGTCCAGTGTTCTATATTAGCATCCTGGCTGTGAGAACTCCTCATTAAATAGAAATGCCTTCTCTCTTTACTGTGTCACAATCATGACCACAGCCTACTGGACAGAATACTGGAGCTGAACCTGAGAGACCTAGATTAGAATTCCAGGTCTCCTACGGACAAGTTACAATTTTGACTTTTAAGATTCTTACTTGCATTGGTTTATGTATAATCTCAGGAGAATTCTGAACACCTGATTTCCTGGCTGATACTAATAAAGTAATAATTACAGAGGTTTTATATATTTAAAAAAAAACTTAACAGACTTTCTAGTGAAACATATTACTTGCCAGATCTCCTAATGAAATGTATTGCTTGCCCTACAGAGAGGAAGACTCTCCCATTGTTGTTCACCATCGAAGCCCGTCTTCTTGCAAGAAGAAAGCACTAATCCAGAGCCGGCAATTATCCTCCAGTCATCAGAGGAGATACATGTTCTCTAATCAAGCAGACTTAAAACTCTTTACATTTTGAAGTTTCCAAAATCAGCACAAGGGATTTCACCCTAACAGAAATCCCAGATAACATACTGGAAAAGGTCCAGTGAAAGTAGTATTTTTTTTAAAAAAAATGTTGACCAGCAGTTTTTATGGTTTTGACTAAAGATGTAAAGTGACCCCCCCACTCCCCAAAAAATAAGAGTGCCTTGTTGTCATGCAGCACATAGCTCTGAATGGCTGAAAGCTTTGTTCTACAACTGGCAGATTTACCATATTTTTTCATTAACATTGCAGCAAAAAGTCTTGTATAATATTATGCTTTAAAAAAAAAAATGTACATACACGAGACATAGTCAACTACAAGGCAAAATCTTAGGTCCCTGGGATCTTGCTCCATAAATAATTCCCTTCCAGCCTATTTCATTTCAAATGCCACCTGCATTCTTTTGTTACACGGAAATCTCCCAGATACAGAGCATTCTGACGGAACCATCTATGCAAGTAGTTCAAATGTTAAGAGCCCATGGGGGTAATTCAGTGTCTCCCCTCCCCCCCCGACAAATGTGGAGTTGTTTTGGCTCTGGAGGGCCATTACTCTGAATATGAATAATTTCCAGAAGCACTGTGAGGCATTTAGGCTGGCTTTTAATTTCATGGTTTACCGGGTGTAAACTGATTTCTCTAAAATGTACATTTTAATTGCATATATCGTTGTTGTTTTTTCTTAAGCTATGGATGTTGGCACCAAGAGCTTTGGAAGAGGTGAAATTAAAACAAAGTATAGGATATCTTTTCGCTCTCCTCTCAGTAACTGAAGGCAAATCTCTTACCTGAATAAAAAGTGTTGATTTTGGCAAGTTCCTTCTCACAGGTTTGGAAGAATTTCTCTTCAAACTTGGCAAAATATCTCTTCACTGTGTCTTCATCTGTGACTGTGGAAATAGAATTAAAAAAACATGAATTTATGCTTCAGAAAACAAAAAGAAAGAAAGGACCACACAGGAATCTGCACCATGTTCAATCCTGGTCTTCTGAAGTAACAGCTGTAAAGTCTTTCTCCTGAGGCCAAGCCATCCCTTGGAAGAAGCAAAAAAGGTAAAGAAAAATAAAATCTCACAACTCCCTGAGGGACCAAATGCCTTAGGACTTGAATTGGTATTTCTGTTTATAGCTTTTCACTTCAGACCTTTAACAGGTGCTCATGACACAGGAAACCAAGAAGATGAGCAGCGACATAAACAAGAGGAACCTCTGAGGACACCAGGAAGATCTTCTCAGCTTTACTATTTTATTTTCCCTCACCTGATGTGCACGTTGGAAGGTGACATTAATGACCAAAAATGAAGTTCCCGCCATCTGGTTTGTCTTATCAAAAAGCAAAAACAAGGTGGCTGAAAAGTAGATCTGTTTTATTTATTTATTAATACATATATACCTTGCCTTTCATTGTGGTTCAAGGCAGCTTACATTTGCTCCTTAAAACTACACATGAGCATAAAAGCTATTACTGACCATTTTGTGTGTTATGGGTAGATTTGATATGACCTCACTACAAATACGACTGTGTGCAGTAGCAACCCATATAGGCCTCAGTCCTGTGAATCATTCAATATACAGAACTGCCATGGTAAAACAAGATGACCCATCCACTATAGTAACTATTATCTCTTAATATTAAGCATAAACTTTTGAATGAAAAACTATCTTTTATAATGTTTGTGGTCCCTAGCAGTCCAGCAAGGGTCTGCAAAAACCACATAACCAACAGTATCTAAGACTGAAGAAAAAAAGGGAGAAGTTAAGAAATATTTATTTTATTATTTATTTATTAAAGTTGGATTTGCTAGGCTGCCCTTCCCTGCAAGCAGGGCTCAGGGTGGCTTACAACAGAGTAAAATACAATAAGTGATTTAAGCTAAAACCAACATTAAAGTTACCTAAAAGCAATCAATAAATAAGACAATGTACATGCTGAGATAGTGGAAGGGGGAAAAATCAGCTCCTCAGCCTCCTGGGGGTGGGGGTGTACGAGGGATGGGAAACGTATATGACAGTGCCAGGTGTCATACAGTACCATCGCTGTCCTCAACCGAATGCCTGGCAGAAAGGTAGTAATTCCCGCAGGGAATATGTGATTGAACTGACCACAATATCTATGAAGGTCTCTTGCATGAATTTCTGGAAAACTGGGGGGACAGCTAGGGCAAAGCAATACTTTAGAACAGAAACTGCAGCCTGAAAAAACACATAAATATAGTCTGGAGGAAGATGGAAGAGGAGTGGTCAGGAACTGCTAAAATCTTGCTTAAACCTTTGCTTCATATTTGAAATGTGTTCAGTGCATGCATGGGAAATACAGATGAAGGAGATGGTTATCTGAACTTCTGACCTGTTAAAAGCAATAGAAACACTTTCCTTTAAATGCGGACCATCTTCACAGTGCAAGCTCCAAGCAACCCAGGGAGGTTGAGAAGCCCAGAGAAAAAGACACAATCCCAAGAATCCAAGCTTGTTTTCTACACTCTCCAACCTCAGCAGAAGCAAAGCCTAAGCAGCCTTCGTCCTTACCATCACTGAGAAGACCAGACATGCTCTCTGTTTCTGAAGAGACCATCAGACATGCTCTCTGTTTCAGATGCTATTCTTAATTCCCATGGATGAAGTAATATGACTTGTTTTGTATGCTGTGATTCGATTACTTGCCATTGCTACTGCAGTGTGCTACTGTGCTTAGTAAACTGGTTAGACCAGGGGTGTCGAACTCATTTGTTATGAGGGCTGGTTCTGACGTAAATGAGACCTTGTTGGGCTGGGCCATGTGTGTCATAAAATGTAATGTCAGGTAGCAAAGATATAAACTTTATAAAGAAGACAAACACAAAGGGTTTTTTTTACTTAAAATAAAAACATGCTTAAAACATTAGCACTCTTGCAATATTTTGTTTATTTAACAGTATCTGATAACTGATACCTCTTGCTCTGAATTATTGCATCAAAATGTCTGTGCTGTTGCAATCTTGAGTATGCTGTTCAGATGTGTCTCTGTAAGCTGTAAACAATGATGCAGCAGAACTGGAAGAAGCAGCAGAAGACAACCAGTTCCACTGTGGGCCTGACTGAAGCCCTCCAGGGGCCTCATCCGGCCCCCGGGCTGCATGTTTGACATCCCAGGGCTAGACTGATCAATCTAACCTAGCATGTGCAAAGCAGGTCTTGGTCTCAATGGAATTCTGAAAGGAACCTGCAGCTCTGTGGCCTACTCAGCATTGTTGAGCTATGCACAACAGTTCTTTATTTGATTTTGGTAGAAAATTTAGAGCACAGTTTCCCAGACTTGCAGGCTCTGTTCTTAAATACTAATTTTTGAATATAAACTGGCTCAATCTACTACTGAAATGTTAGAAAAAATTCAGGGGGTTCAATATACACCAACTATAACACCACCATCAAACCCCCTTAGAAGGGCTAAATATTAAATGCTTCGCATACATTAACCCTTCACATGCAGCAGCCCTAACAACCCTATAAGATAGGTCAATACTGTTATTCTCACATTGCTGGGGCAAAGGCTGAGATAATGGTGCCTGATGACCTCTGTAAATACATACGTACAGAGAAGTATTTGACTGCTGATAACCCAAAGAAAAATAAAAGTTGAACGTAAAGGAGAGCTCAAATTCTGCACAAAAATTTGCTCTGCAGTCATACAAAATTAAAACTGAACTACACAACACTTCTTCATAATCCACAGTTTTTAAATCTGTTTTCATATGGACTCCTGTTTACTGACTTCTGACTAGATCTGCAAAAGGTTTTGCTTCAACTCTCTCTGCAGCTCAATATTATAACACTGCCCAAGGCTACTGTGTGTTTATTTTCTTCAGAGCAAAAACAAGGGTTTCTGCCATGCAAAAACCTTTCTGCAATGCCAAAAGGTTGGCCTTGGGTTAAAACAGCTCCACGTCAATGGAAACAGTTTTCAAAAGGCACCTAGCTACAGCTTCCAAGAGAAAGGCAGCACCCCTCCCTTCTGAATTTTAATTCAAATCTTTAGAATGCCTGACCACAAACAGAGCATCTAAAGAAATCAATCAAGGCTGCAGGCTGTTATATCCTAGAGGACCAGCATTGGAAACAGATGCAAAGCCTAGAAGATTTTTTTTGGGGGGGGGGGAATTCCAGATTTTTTTTAATTAAAAAAAATACCCTGTTCTGCAGGTATTGACATAGTTTTGGCCCTCTTCTCTTATATTATCCTGGTGTATAAGTTCTTGCAATGTGGATCCTTTTCATGCCACTGGGGTAGCACAAGAAGTCTTGTCCACATGAGAGGAACCATGTTGGGTCAATTTCTTATGCCTGGCCCCAAAAAGTCCTTACAAGCTACAGGAAAGACCGTCTCCTCCAAACAACTACCTGTGAGTTGATACGAAGGTCTTGTTCAGTCCTTCATGAAGTTGCCCAGTCCCCTTTCGACCAGAACGTAACAGGTACTTTGTTGGAGCAGACCAACAGCAAGACCAGCTCATCTGGGAAGAGACATGTGAGGAACCAGCCAGAGGTGAAGCAAAGCATAAGTATTAACTTGATACATTAAACAAATGCAAAAATTACACAAGCCATAATTTTGCCTCTTTCCCCAGGATTCCTAATAGCATCTTTTCTCCACCTGGAAACAGAAGGAAATAGTTTCAAGAGCATTGTGGGTTCCTTGTATACATGGCCCTCAGGAAGTAGGGATGCCCACCTCCGGATAGGACCTGGTTGAATTACAGCTCATCTCCAGACTACAGAGATCAGTTCCCCTGAAGAAAATTGATGCTTTGGAGGGTGGCATCTAAGTCATTGTACCCCACTGAGGTCCCTGTCCTCCCCAGGCTCCACCCCGAAATCTCCAGGAGTTCCCCAACCTGGATCTAGAAACCCTAACCCCCCCATCCCCCAACAGTGGCCAGAGGGGACCTGGCAAGCCCAGCAAGGAGCCACACGAAAGACTCTTCCTTCCACATATCCCAGGGATTCCAAAAGTTGCTTAAGGTAGAATTATTTAGGAGGACTTTCCCCAATTGTTGGCTCAGCCATTTTAGAAGATGTTTCACAGCTGACTGATTAAGTCAAGGATCAGGAAAAATGCAGCTATAAGAGATATCTGTCTTGAATGCTGGGAGATCACAATGAAACTCGGAATGTTATTATTACACCAGAGGCCAACCACGGACCAGTAGGGAATGGGTATGCTTTACTGAGGCCTGGAGGGCCCAATCCAGCCTGACAATGTCCAGACTGCTTAGGTCATTTCAGAAATAAAGAAATTTCACAACTCATGAGACTGAACATATGTACATGATTGAATCACGTGTGAGTGACGGCACTTTTGAATTATGGACATGCCATAATTCTGTGTTTCAAATTCAAACATCAGCTTGAACATTGAACTGGGTTTCAAGGGAAGGAGGGGAGTTCCAAAATACTCCTTGCTTTCAATTGTACTTTCTCCATTAAAGAGTAAACATATGCAGCTTTACTTCGACTCTACTGATACTGGTGACAGCATGTGTTTATAATTAATGCTGTAACTTAAGAAGTCTCTGCTAAAAATCCTTCTAAATCTTTTTCCAGCAAGGTATGGTAACAGGATATAAAGTGGCACAGGGCTCTATAATTCTAAATTTCCAACATGTAATTCAGAGAATGCCATTAAGTTTGTTCAAGGCACACTTTGTTGATATGCTAAGCAAGTTGCTCGACTGTCCAAGTAACTAGTCAAGGAAACCACAACCCAAGAGAAATCTCATTAGCATTTCGGATCTCATTAGTGCAGGTTATGACAGACATATTAATTTACACAGGTGACTTTTAAACAAAATTCAGTTTATTAAACAAGACATGCACACAGGTACAGTGAACTTCCCCTAGCATTAAAAACAGGGTA